GTTAGCGCATTGTGTATGCCATGTTATCTCGTGCATCGTGTATGCCATTTGTATGAATGTCGTCTTGGTTGGGTCGTTTATTACCCTCTGTGTGTGAGTTTATTCATTGTCTGTCTGTATGTGTGTGTTTTTTGTGTGTGGACAGTTGAATGGTAATTGGTATGTAGGTTGTGTGGTTGTTATCCGTCTGCGTGTGTTCATAAAATGTGTATGTGTGGGTGCACTTTTGGCATTTGAAGACAAATGCTGGGACCCCTGCCCCCATGCCCTTAGTCAATATGTTAAGATATAATGTGGGTCGAATTTGGATGGCAGTCATGGGTGACACATGTTTTACTAATATTGTAGCATAATTTGTTGTTTGAGTTATTGGTGTGTGATGCTGTGTATATCAATTGCAGGGTTTAGGGGTAGCTTTATCGTGAAGTATTATGATGGGTGTGTGTGAACAATTTAGAAGGCTAAAAAAAATGTTATTGGTATAGAGGCAATGTATCATATGCACTACTGTTCATGACTTTTAGTTACTAATGTTGTGTTGTTATATGCAGAAGTTGCATGGATGAGGAGCCCGTGGACTAGGTCATGTGAGCGTAAATGGTTGGATGCAGCGCCCGTCCCGTCATCGTTGAAGTTAAGTGTGAAAATGTAGGGTCGTGTGTTGTTCAAACCCCCCTCAAAATGTTACACAAAAATGCGTGTCACCCAAGAAGACGACACACCGTATCAATTTCTGGTCGAACATAGAAGGTGTTATTAAGGTGGTGTCCGAGTTGGGGTTGCATGAGGGACACTTTCGGCAGTTGAGAAAGACACCATTTTGGCTCATGTTTGAAGCCATTGTTATTAACAAACCGGATTGGAACGAGTATAGAAAGTGTGACGATCTTGTGTTAAAGATTTTGAGGACATTCCATAGACGGGACAATGCATTCTACATTAACGGTTGTCCAGTGAAGATTAGGAATGCAGACATTAGGTTGGTGTTTGGATTGCAGTGTGGTGACCAACATCTCGACCTAACTCTAAGCACAAGGCCGGCTTCAGATTTCATCCAGCGACAGTGTGATGGCATAGGGAGAATAACTACAAATTTGATCAGAAAGTTGCTTGATGATGCTGTCAAAGGTAAATCGGTTTGTGACGAGGAAGACATGGCAAAACTGCTATGTCTTTATTTTTGTGGAAAGCTTTTTTTTTTCAACGTTTGGGGAGACGATTAGTTGGGTGTTTGTGCGCTACATCGACAACTTGGACACAGTGCAAACGTATGACTGGACAGAAGCAATTCTAAACATACTTATGGGGTCAGTGCGGGAATTTTACCAAAAACCAGATAAAGTTACCGGTTGCAT